AGGAAACGAGGAGAGGGAGGGGAAGAGAGAGTGAATTTGCATTTCTACCAGGTTGTCATATTTGAACCTTCAGTTGTATTGGGGCCCTATTCAGTGGTTGTATGAGGACCACCCACGCTGAGGGGAGTGGATCTCCTTCACTTGGCCTACAAATTCAAGTGCTAATGTTTCCCAGGAACATCTTCACCAACACACCCAGAAATCCTGTTTTACCAGCTATTTGAGAATCCTTTATCCCAGTCACGTTGACATATCAAATTAGTCATCACAAATTCTGAAGTTGAGAAATGCTGCTTTAAACCTTGTTCTGTCTGCTGCCTAGATACAAAATGTCCACAAGAGAATTCTGAGAACCTCAAAGTTGGCTGAGGCACTGGGTTGAAGGTTCCTGGAGTTCTTAAGGCCCATACAGTGGTTTTTTACTGAATATCTGCTAGCCTCTGTCTTTAAAAAAGAGATATCTTTCTCTGTGTTAAATTATTGAACTCTGACAGCTATTTGCAAAGCTATTAAGAAATTAACATTGACAAACAGAAACTCAGTTCTTGGGTAAACTGTTTAATCTATCTTAATTTTCTGATCTACTAATGAAGTTAATGATATACATCATAGGGTTCTATGAGGATTGAGTGAATTTGTATTTATGTAACACTTAGAACAGCACTGATCTAACTGGTTAGTTATTTAGCCACAATGGCTTTTCATTATGCCATACATGTTTTACAGTGAACCGACCACCACATGAAGAATATTGAGTTCTGTGTTACAGAGACCAGCTCAATGAATCCCTGTGAAGTACTGCTACTGCCATTGTCTTTATTAAGAAACTGATACCTGGCTGAATCTTCTCAACTAGTTCAATGTAAGACAGAGATTTGAGTACATTTTAACTCCAGACCAATGCCTTTTCTATTATTCCATTACCTTGGGAGGCAGAGAACTCAGTGCTCAAGGCCAGCCTGGTCTATGTAATGAGGTCCAGGACAATCAGGGCTATGTAGAGAGACCCTGTCTGAGAAAAACAACAAAAGAAAAGAATAATGGTTTGTGATGCTTCTATTTTCCAAAAACAATTAACTCAACAGTGTTAGTTAGTTAGTTAGTTCTAACAATAGTGGGAGACTGAAAACAAAGACTTTTATAGGTTATAAGACATTTCTTGGTGGTTCTACTGAACAGAACTTTCTGTATTCATAGAATATGGTCTATGTCAATACTGACTAGTGCAGTAGCTAGTGTCAGATATGGCCACACCATCTTGTAAAGTTCTTCCCCTTTAATAATTCCCCAAATTTCCAACAGCTAAGTAACTGTTTTCTCCATTTTTGCGTTCCCTGCCCTATTGGTCCACCCCTCACCCCAGTAAAAGCCAGTCAGAAGAGTTCAATAGACCACTGAACATTCTTTAGCTTACCACTCACTGGATACCCCTAGTAATGGCCATTTGTGACCGAAAAAGAAAGAAAGAAAGAAGGAGAGGAAGGAAGGAAAGAAGAAAAGAAACATTTCAACTTCCTTCACACCAGCCTCTTTCTGCCCTGTTTCCACCCTGTCATGCAATCTGACACTGGGCTGATTCTCAAACCAGAGCCCCCTTCTCCCTAATAAAAATCTGTACTGTCATCCAGGTGCTCATTTTCCTGGTCTGTATTTCCTTCTTGTCTACCTTATAACATGCAGCAATGGAGGACTTAAAATACGGCTACTTCAATGGGACTGAAATTTAGATTTTATTTTTATTGTATTTAAGCAGTTGCAAGTTGCTGTTGCTGTTGCAGTGAACAGTGTGGTTCTACAACATAAATGCCATCAGATTGAGCAGGTATTTTAATTTGTTCATTGTGTCCTATGTGCTCAGAAATATTCCCAAGACATAGTAGCTGCTTAATTGGTATGTAATAAATCAATTTTGGCCGATGGGGAGATTGTTTTTAAGGGAACCATGTATATACATAATTAATATGAGCAAAACTATTAGTATATGTTTATACCAAACCATAATTTGTTTTGACTTAGCCTGTGTAAGCATGCATGATGCATGTTATTTAATTGCTTTTTTGGATTCAAAGGGCGTTCTACTTAATATGGGTGTACCTAAATAAAGCTATACTCTACTTACTATCATGTGTGAGCCCCCTCTTCCAATGGGGTATCCTGGAGATAGGCTCCACTAATCTGTTTCTTTCCCCCATGGCACCCTAACATCAGTGCCAAGGAGATAATGAAAACATATTCACTGTTTCCCTGCAAGAAGCCTTCTGGTCCAACCTGAGCAGCCTCCGTGAAGTTATCTGGCCTCATCTAACACCAGTAGAAATCCAGGCTGAAGTCACTTGTCTATACTTGCCTATAGCATTAGGGGTAAAGCAGAGGGAGGACCTTTGCAACCTAGGTAAACAATGTAGTCACACTGAAAGCTCTGAAACTCAGGTTAATATGTGGAAGTAACGGAGACATGGGGACAACTGTGGTATACACAGTTCAAGCCCAGGCTGTTCAACCAGCTCTCAATGGAGGGCACATACATTTCCTTTTCTTGTCTGTGGAAGCTGAATTTTCAGGCTGCCTTTCAGTGTACTGGGAAGGTTGTGGCTGTCTGCCTCAAGGATGACAGCAGTGCATGCCGATCCCCAAATATAAATGAACAAGGTCAATGAGTATCTATGGCAACTGTCCAAAATGTCCATGTAATCAGAGCAAACCAGATGAGCTCAGCATCTCAGTCTGATAGAAAGCAAGTGCAGAAGCAATCATCTCGAGGCTAGTGATGAAGCTGCCTCTGCTCTGCTCTGCTCTGCTCTACTCTCTTTCTCTGTTGCTCTAGAGATTCTCCTCATGGGTTTTGCTGCTCCATACACCCAGGGCAGAAATCGTTTCTTTCATTCTTAAATAGCAGCTTCTTTGGGACAGTAGACTTTACCCAAATCTCATTGTTTCCCTTCTCTGAGATTCTCGATTATTCTGAAACCAAAGTCAAATCAAGGGAAGCCAGTCCAGCTCCTGATTTCAGTTAGAACCTCACTGTGTCTTCAAATATACTGGTAACTTTATAAAAGTAAGAGAACCAAGCTGCGTCCCCCCCAAAGCTTGGGATCCACTGGCAACATGTCAAGCCAGGCTTCAGACTACTAATGTAGGCTCTCTTTTTATAAATATAACCAGACAATCAAGAATCACTTACCATTTAGAAATATCAACAGCAAGTGGGGAGATATAAAAAAAGAGATTAACCAAACTCTTAGTAAACAAACTCTTTTGGAGCAGACAGATCATTAAAGTATACACATGGGGACTATGGAGGGGGCTCTGTCCATGAAGTGTTCACTGTACAAGAGAAGGCAGAGACAGCATGATCCTGGGGCTTGCTGGCCAGTCAGTGTGGCTGAATTGGTGAGATCTAAGTTCACTGAGAGAGCCTGTCTTGAAAAATAAAGATGTGAGACCAGGTGACTCATGCTTTGTCTCTGAAAGTGATATGGCTTTCAGGACAGAAACAAAACTACTGTATTCTCAACATTCTGGTCACATATGATGTGAACTCTAGCAGCTCTGGACATTGAGCTATTTTATCTCAATGACTCTCTTTCTGGATAAATTCCGCTAGGGCAATTTTGATCCATTTTTCAAGGTTTCAGATCAGTCATGTGATTTTCACACTTGGAGATCAGTGACTTTTTTCACAATCAGAGTCTGAGAAATACACTCATCTGTTAAAGCCAGGTTCTAACTTAGAACGTGTAGATATGCATTAGGACAGAGAAGTGTAGATGATTGCTGGAGCGCTCGAGTAGGTAAGTGGATGAGAAGAGTCCCATTCTTCTTATCTGCTTTGAACATTCTTCTATGTGTTCTTCCCTGTGTCCTCTAGTGTAGATGTTTATTTCTCACAGGCTCACTTTTATCTCCGTAGATACTGTTATTCAAACCCTAACAATGTCTTGGCGAGAGCACACCTGAAGAAAGGCGTAGGAAAAGCCTGGAGTCACGTCAATCTACACGTTATCTTTGGATCATTCTACAAGAAGTGTCAGCCAGACCCAGAACATGATAAACCTACCTGAGAACCATGAGAAAGGGTGGTTTATCATCACAGAAGCAGGGAATTAAGTGTGAAATGGAACATGCAGTTCTGAGCCCACTTGCTGCTACACCCTGGGGACCATAGAGACCAAGTGCAGCAGAGCCAAGGTGTGTGTGTGTGTGTGTGTGTGTGTGTGCGCGCGCGCGTGTGTGTGTGTGTGTGTGTGTGTGTGTGTGTGTGTGTGTGTGTGCATGTAGCATCAAACAGAGTGCAAGCTGGTTGGTAGACATCAACTATTGGTAGCTATACTAAAATGGTTGCTAAAAGGACCTTCCCTGGTGCTCTACACTCCGGCTTTGAACTCTGGCTTTGGCTATAACTTTTTGAGGTTTGTTTGTGGCCTCAACATCTGGTCTACATTTTATGAACCAAATATAGACACTTGTCTCTTTTACTCAAACCACATATGGGGCCCTTGTATCCTGGGGTTTTCCTGTGCCTCATATGACCCAGGTCCTGTTGGCCCTACAATTCTAGTTTGGTGCTTGTATCGGTGGACCTGTTTCTGGAGATGTAGCTGCTTAGCTTTGACAATTAGGATGCTAAGAAGTAGGAAGGGAAGATGTAGGTGAAATTAATTTTTAAAAAAATGAAGAATGAATACTCCAGAATTAGAAAAATCACACAATGAAAGAAGAAAAACCACTGATTTAGTAACAACAAAGACTGCACAGGGAGGTGTGAAAATAAACCAAGGGTTTCTTCCCCTGACACCTACACAGCTGTCTACGCTCAGTGCTGGAGGGAAACCGCCATAGGTCAGGAACCTTGAACGAGTCAGGAGTCTACACCAAAGGAACCCTTTGAAGCATGGTAAGCTGCTGTGACCAGAGAGTAAACTGCTTGCCCACTGTGGGCAAGAGCCCGCAGCACTGCAGAAAGAGTCTCAGTATTTGCCTTGTCAACACATGGGTGTGAAAGCCACCGGGGACAAACCCTCCTCTCTTGCTGTACTGGCCCTCCTGCCAATACCAACACGCAAATGCTCTTAAGGGAAAATCCGCCCATTTCAAGTTGGCTTTGCAGTCTTCAGCTACCGTCGGTGGCGTTGAGAATGAACCTCTTCCTCCATACAGGGGTGAGCTGGTGGGCTGAGGGCTTTGAGAGAGAACAGGAGACTCAGAGACAATTACTGAATGCTTTCTCTCATGTAGATCAACCTATCACTTACCAATACCTACATATCTATTACCTATCTATACTCTATTGAAAGTAGATGGGGACCATGAGAGGGGAAGACGATGTCTAAAAGTAAGAAAGAACAGGGAGGGTAATGAAATACAGGTATGAAAGCAGAAGTTGGGCAGCTACTTGGGGCAAGAAAGAGGACCAGTGAGTGGAGGTAGGGGAGATGAAGAAGTATATGGTATATATGTATGAAAATGTTACTCTGAAAGCCATCTCTCTGCACGCTGATCAACAACGTAATTTTAAAATTATTCATGTAAAACTGCAGGCTCAGAATGTTTCCTTTGATGGAAGTACTTGGTAAGAAGTTGTTATACCACCAAGGTTGCAAAAGAGAGGCTATCAACAAAAAAGCTAGTGACAAACACTCTGTGCCACCTACATGCCCATGGTCAGAGCCTTTGCTTCACTGAATTGATACACAAAACTAATTTGTTTAATTTGTACTCATTTTTTAAATGTTTTTTTTTCATGACAGGGTTTCTCTGTATAACAGTCTCGGTTGTCCTGGAACTCATTTTGTAGACCAGGCTGGCCTTGAACTCTCTGAGATCTGCCCGCCTCTGCCTCCTCCTCCTCTGTACTGGGATTAAAGGTGTACACCACCACTATCTGGCTGTACACACTTTAATAAGAGTAAAACACTGGTTTTGTTGCTGGGTATGAACTTTATTGTTGCCACTAGTCTCCAATTGCAAAGGAGACAGCTTCCTGCCTTCCCTGTTCCCAGAGAGCCTAGGAATAGAGAGAAATTCTGGAGGTGAGAGAAAGGCAAATGGGGGGCTTCAATAAATGCAGACCAAATGGGGCAAATGGCTAACCATGATGTCTATTAGCAAATCAAAGTGCATGCCGGCCTCCAGGCTGGCTCTGTGTCTGTGGCTCTTCTCAGCTCTTCTCAGCCCACTTCCTTCTACCCCAAACTTCTTCAGCTCATAGGCTCTTTTCCCTTCCCTCAGCTTCTCAACGCAATCTAGCTTTGACATTTTGGCTTCCTTAGTCTCCTCTCCTTTGCCCTCTGCTTCTTTGGTCTTCCTCTCTATCCCTCCCTTGTTCCTCCCCATCTTCTCTCATGGCCCAGCTCAGTACGCTGACCATGTCTCGTCTACTGCTTTCTCTCTCTGCGCTGGACTCTTACAGATGCCTCTGACTGTACTCTCCATCATGTCTACAATAAAAACCTCCCCTTAACCATACCTTGGAGCAGGCATGTCCTCACTTTATACGTCTGGCTATTAACCCTCAACTTGCACCCTCTATGGAATGTGTCACAGGACGGTTCTTGGTACAACTTGAAAGAAGCTTTCCTGTTTCAGCTTAGCTGGGGTCTAGTTGCTGTACTGCCCAGCAAGGCAGCCCCTGGAGGGAGATGTAGGCAGAATTCCTATGCTCCCGACTTGCTTCCTTCATTAGTTTAACCCCATCCTGCTTCTGATTTGTGACCTTCCTTGGATGTCTGGCTCATCTTGGTTTCATTGCTAGTCTTGTCATAGTCAATTAAACCTATTCTTTGTATTCTTTCCTCTAGCTCCAATGAGTTCTCTCATGATGGAAGAAGGCATTGGGGTGTGGGGGGAGGGTTTAGGACAAGCAGAGAGAAATCCACAACTGTTTTTACTCAGTTGTCTTTATTGGACGTCAGCAGCTAAGACTCCAGATGAGCTGTAAATAGCTTCCCACTCTCACATGTGTTTGGGTTCTGTCTACTGAGTTATTACTGTGTGCCAGGCATGGTACAGGGGCCTTAATTTACTAATTCTCACAGCAGCCCTATAAGGAGAAAAATTATTCATGCTACTCTAAAACTGAAATTGAAGACATTGAACACTTCTCCAGGCTTACAGAGCCAGAAGCCTACAAATAGGATTTTACTCGAAGGCTAACTCCTGCCCTCTGGCCTTGACCTTCCAAGCTGTATTCTTCTGGTCTCCAGGGCATTGCACTCTGTAATATTTGAATGTGTGTAGACTAGGACTGTTTGTTCTAAGGTGCATGGCAGCCCTAGCTTGGTGAGGGGCAAGTATGGAATGGGTCCATATGACATGATAAATAAGTCATATCCCAGGATTCTGTCTCTGGGCATTAGTCTGGGAGGTGACTAACTACTTTGTTTTTCTGGTCTCTTTCAAATAGTACCTCAGGAGGTCACATTTAGGTGTGACTACCATGCAAGGAACAAATGCCTGAGGAGGGGATCTTGAGAAGCATTTGGAAAGTTTCAAGGGACAGATGTCTCCTATTGCCAGTTAGAGCCCAGGACTTGTCCCAAAGCTGTTAGGTCTGGGTTTTACTTGAAACCAACTAATTGCTTGTGGGACATTCTATTTGGCAAGGCCTCTATCTCAGTTTGCAGCATATTCTCTGGCCATTACTCAGCATCTCTGGGAAACTTTCCACCCATCTGAGTTTGCAATAACCTCTTGTTTGGTTGAATTGCTATTCAAAACACCCTACTTCCTGGACCAATTTTTATTTTCAGAATAAAGGGGAAGAAAAACATGGTAAAGTCATTAGTATGGGATCATGTGGGAGATAAATAGGAGATTATGGAAAGCCAAATCATCCTAGGAATGCTGGTAGGACTCTTGCCCTCTATGTAGGAAACTCTCTATTGTCAAGGAAAGAAAGACACCTCCCAGTGAAGCAAAGGCCTGGACAATTGCTTTCCCAGCCATTTTATTGTCTATGTCTGCAAAACTAAGCCTTGTTGCTCTAGGATAGTGCTCTTGTAATTCAGTTATTGTCTAGACACCTAAGCCCCACAAGTTTTGCTGAGTTTGTGACTCCACAGTGATGTAGCCTCTGTCAGTCCCTAGGCAGATGACTCTCTGGTTTACAAGAGAAGGCTGGTCTTCACTGCTGTGCTCTAATACTGTGTGAGCTGGAGAAGGTCCATGGGAGGAGGAACATTTATGTTTGACCTATACTTTGCTTTCTTGAGCAAACCCAAAGGGTAGAGAGGAAGGGACACCATAGTAATAGTCACTATTGTGCCAGTATTTTGCAGAAAACAGTTTCAGGATATAAGTTATTTTATGTACCATTTAGCTCCCTAACCTGCTTTAGATTAAAAAAACAAGTGACCGTGAACAAAAATGATCACAAAAATAATTTGTTATAAAAAATGTAAAAAGTTTCTGATACATATCAGTTAATCAGACATTGATAAGAATGGTTCCAAAGAGTCAATGTACTTAAAATGTATGTGAATTATCTGTAATATACTGTGCTTAATAATAGGCTTTAATTTATTATGACAGGGTAAGAAAAGAGGTATCTAATCTGGTATAAAACAGTAAAGTAACATAAAAAGTACTCAATACACAGATATGTATATAAGGAACTACTGTACAATTTTGCTTAATGTTCTATTAAATTCATTTTTGGAGGTGTGTGTGTGTCTGTGTCTGTCTGTCTGTCGGTGTGCTGCATATATACAGAGGACAGATATTAGCATCTGTCTTCTCCATCTTACTTTTGAGGCAAGGTCTCTCATTGAACCTCAAACTCAAAGCTTTGCTAGACGAGCAGGCCAGAGAGGCCCCAGAATTCTTCAGTCTCTGCCTGCCAGAGCTGTAATTTCCGGGGCGTGACACCAGGGCAGCATTGTACATGGATGCTTGTGATCCATACTCAGGTCCCCATGCTTGCACAATGATCACTTTGATCTTCCCAGCTTTTCAAAGGTGCTTTGAAAGAATCTAAAAAGAGGTCGAGTGTCCCATCATGAGAAACTCAGAATCTGGTTTAATTTTCTTGTTTCTGTGTAGTGAAAACAGAATCTCTGTAAATTCTCTGTCCTGATCATGATCACACAGCATGCCAAAGGAGGAACTTACAGACTGGTTTATGCACCAAAACAATCTATTTATGTTTTCTATTTCCCCTTTCTCTACAGACTCCAAATCCAGCTTTCAACATCACTGGCTTGTCCTAGACATTTCCTCAGGTAGCTCTAGATCAAGCTTTGAGTCAGATGCACCTGATGATAATTGGGTGGGCCACTTTTATAAATCCCTGTATCTAAAGTAAAGGAAAGCCCACTGTAAAACATCTGAAGATGTTTACAGGGGCCAGGGAACATGATTGTACTATGGGGCAGAGTAAAGACTTCAGAGGGAAAAGGATGCTTTATTGTTCAAATTTTAGCCCAGCTAGTGAAATGGTTATTGACTGGATGTCATACAGAAAGATTAAAACTAAAAAGAAAAGAAAAAACCCCTCTACCATTAGAAATGCAAGCACCTCTTCCTAGCTGATTTGAATTTCATAAAACAGCTTCTACAAAGTAGTGTAAGCATAGACATAGCAGTCCCATCAACCTGCAGAGTTGGGACAGGGGTTCCTTCCACTGCAACAGAGAAGTGAAGACAATCTTCAAATTATCAGTCAAACTGTTTGTGGTCTTGGGCAGGAAGCTCCTAGGTGAACCAAGCTCACCCTCTCTTGCTATGCAAGTTCACTTAGCTTCAAAAGAATTCCCATCCTACCTGGATGGAAATTTGACGGAAGTCAGAGTCATCTTGCACCTAGGCCTGGTATGCTCACTTGTCAATATCAATAAACTGCAAATGTTGTAAATAAAATGAAATGCATTTCCTAATATAGTGGAATAAAATGGGAAATCAATTAGCTCATGGGGGCTCTGTCCTTATGAATGGGATTAATTTTCTTACAAGGTAGGTCAGAGGCAAGACTGGGCATCAATACCCTATTGTGGAAAAGGGAGGGACTCATGGGCCCTCTTCTCTCTGAAGATTTATATGCAGTTAATAGCTGATAGGGGCATTTTCTTCAGAACTGTAGCTGCCGGTAAGGTGTCCATGCTCCTTTAAAAGTCCCCAGACAGGGGCTGGAGCAAAGGCTCAGCAGTCAGAGCAGTTAGTGTTCTTGCAGAAGACCCATGTTTGGTTACCAGCAATCATACCAAGCTGCTCACAACTGCCTATAGCTCCACTTCCAGGAAATCAGGTGCCCTGTGGCTTCTGTGGGCTCACATGCATATGCATAAATAAAAAATAAATATTTTAAAAGAATCCTCACCTATGATCCTGTAAACAACCGTAATGAAACTTACTGGACACATACCATACCATACCATATCATACACAGAGAGAGAGAGAGAGAGAGAGAGAGAGAGAGAGAGAGAGAGAGAGAGAGAGAGAGAGAAGGGACCTCACTGAGAGGAAGGTTAGCACTGTGAGTAGGAGGGGTTAAGAGATAGTGAGGGGGTGGATATGATCAAAATGCATTGTGTACATGTATAAAGATACCATAAAGAAACCCATTGCAAATAATTAATATGTGCTAATAAAAGATTTCAATAGAGAAGTGAGGGGCTCATTTGCTCTTCCTACTTTGTTTGGCCCCTACAAGAAATGAGAAGGCTCCTGTTTCTCTCTTCTCTAACCCTCTTCTCTTTCAATCCTTTATGTATCCTACCAACATAGAAGCTGACTCATGGTATTATTATGAAAACAAAATGAGTTGATATTCTAGAACACCTTTAGACAGAGCCCATCCAGGTAGGTGCAATTCTATTGATCCTCTGTCTAGCTGCTACCTTGGCTTCTTCAATTCTCCTCACACAAAACACATTTGCATTTGCCTCACTGCCCTTGAAAATTCACTTTGTGTCTATCCCACGCTAAGAGAGACACCCACAAGGTTTCTTCTCTCATCTTATTAAGCTTATCAGTATTACCAGATGAATTGAAAATTCCAGAAAAAAAAAGCAAATCAGAAATGCTTCCAACCAAATCAATCAAATTCATGCAAAAAAAAAAGTCAACCAGAAAGAAAAGAAAGCTGTTGATTGAATAACTAAAGAAAATAGATGGAAAAAGTGAAATTGTCTCAACATTCATTTAAGATATAGTTTATGGAAAAGAGAACATAAGACCAATAGATTATTGGAGGAAAACTTGGGATAAATACCCCAAAAAACTAACATGTGTGGGGTTTTTTTAATTAGTTTCATACCTAGAGCATACAAGAGACATCAACTAGCCCACAAGACCAACTCTTAGTACTGTGTTTCTGACTGAACAGCACAACAAATTTGTCATCATCCATCTTCCTACCCTTTGCTGAATTCTGCTTCTTTGTCTAGACCTGGCAGGGCTTTCTCACCTGGTCATGTGACCATCTGACTCCCTTACCTGTTTCTATGTCAGGCTGAGTGAGATACTGCTATCACTAAGCCTCTTCCCTTTCAGCAGCCAGTCATGGTTCATGGAAAACCCTGATCCCTCTCCATCTTCATCCTTCCCAGAGCATCTCTGGGCCCTATCCCGTCCCTCTCCTTCTGAAAAGGATCACACTGTATCTATTTCTACTTGAAATGTGGGAGGTTATTGTTTCCATTCATCAGTGAAGAATTATTTGAAGCAATTAAGTATTTATTTTTCCCCAAGAACCCTAAACAGGTTACTTTTTCTTATTTTCTAGAACATTCTAAACAGTTGTCAATTGAGATCTCAATATGAATAAATAAATAACACATAGGAGACAAGGAAAAGACACCATCCACTTTCTCCTTTTGTTTCAAGGATGGGCACGGTTATATGTAGGTAGCCTGGAAATTATTCAAAACTCTTGGTCCACTCTACCCTTAGCCTTGGCCATTTGGGCATCCTGATGCTGTAGAGCTGTATAGAGAGACCTTATCCAAAGAGTGTGTGGCAGTAGATACAATATCTCACTCCTGGCAAAATTCTGCTTCCTTGTGTGAAGCTAAAGAGGTAGAGTCGACCTCGCCAAATTGGAATCAGAACGACATAAGTTTCCAAAGGAATGAAAATGAATGTCATATGATTGAAAGATTTAAAAAAATAAACTTAGTGTGGGCAGAGGAACCAAAAAAAAAAAAAATACAAGGCACCCCTCACCCCCAATCTCTAACTAGATGCCTGGATTCTGTTTGATGTTTGAATTAGAGCTGGAGGAAGAGTCGAGAAGACAGAGTTATTGGCTCTTTTCTTGGAAACTTTTAAAAAGGGATTTATGGAACTCAGATGTTGATTCTTCTCTCTTTTCAGGAAGCTTGCCTGGTGCAGTCCTCGCCCAAGTCCGGTCAGCTCCTGCAGATGAGATCATTGTTTATCTAACATGTCTTGGGATGGGAAAGAGTTCCGTGAGTTTGCTCCAGGATAGATAGTGTCAGTTTGACGGAGGCTCGCTCTCACTCCAGTTTTCCTCCCACATTCGGCTACATCCAACATCTTTTCCCTCTGCCCCTTCTGCTGTCAGCAGTGCTCTGTGACCAGCGTGGGGAGCAGTTGAACTGGCTCCACATCCCCACCCGCTTGGGAGCTCAGTGAGCACAGAGGGGAGCTGATGCAGCTGGACCACCACCTCTGGCAGCATCTGACTCTGGCAGAAGGAGGAAGGACCCAGAAACAGCACCGAGGAGAAGGGCAGTTCTGAGACCAAATATCACATTCATGAATTTTGAAATTGAAATGGATGTTCACACACAAATTTCAATGCTACAGCCACAAATTTCATCCCAGCAGTAGGGAGGCAGACGCAGGTGGATCTCTGTGAGTTCGAGGTCAGTGTGGTTTACAAAGTGAGTTCCAAGACAGTCAGAACTACATAGAGAAACCTTGTCTTGAACCACCCCCCCAAAGAAAGATAACACCTAATTTGTACATTTTCACAATTGAAAAATCATATCATAATTAAATTGGATGGTCACTCTTGCACCACTCTCTTGTTTCCCATTAACTCTAGTTCAGCTGTGCCTCAGGGTTTCTTTTGCAGTGAAGAGACACCATGACCACAGAAACTCTTATAAAGAAAAACATATAATTGACTCGGCAGCTTACAGTTTCATCGTGGTGGGAGCATGGCAATGTGCAGGCACACTTGGTGCTGGAGAAGGAGCTGAGGATTCTATATCTTGACCCAAAGGCAACAGGAAGTGGCTTGAGCATATGTGAGGCCTCAAGCCCACCTCTACAGTGACACACTTCCTCCAACAAGTACACTCCTCTTAATAGTGCCACTTCTTTGGGGATCATTTTCTTTAATACCACCATAGGCTGTGACAGTGAGTCTGCATTGTTTGAATTTTTATGTTTACAAATGCATACATGTCTGTAAATAGAAACTTATCTTTTACACAATATTGGGAGGACAGAGGATACAAATTGGATCTAGGAGAAGTTAGGGGGAGAGTGGAGAGTGAATATGATCAAAATATATTATATTCGTGTATGAAATTCTCAGAGAGTTAATGAAAAATTGTGTTTTTTAAAAGAAAATGAAAATAAATTGTCTTAAAACTCAGAGGTGAGCCGGGCAGTGGTGGCACACGCCTTTAATCCCAGCACTCGGGAGGCAGAAACAGGCAGGTCTCTATGAGTTTGAGGCCAGGCTGGACCGACAGCCTCCAAAACAATACAGAGAAACCCTGTCTCGTAAAAACCAAAAAAGAAAAAAGAAAAAAAAAAGCTGAAAGGTGAATGCCTTTCAAGTTAATGCCTGCGTTGAGAATGACAGGGTCTGGGGACATTTTTGTGTATGTTCCTTCCCTTCAGACTTCGCCTTTTGCCTGTGTCCACTCTTGCCTAGCTGTGATCTCTGCTGCTGTGCCTGCAGAAGGCCTGGCTGTTGTTCACATGTTCTAAGGTATGTAGGATTTAAAGAGTTAACACCAAGTACTGATGGCAGACTTCTGGAGACCATCATGGGTGCTTCTTAGCTGTGTGGCTCTGATTAAGTTTCAATTCTCCAACATAAGGGATAATTAATACTCAAAAGAATATTGCAAGAAATGAAATAATTAAGGTGTACAACTTGCCTGTTTGTATTGATTACAGCCAAGTACTGTTACTTTACAGAAACCACGGAACTGGAGTTGTTGATGGTTGTGAACTGCCACATGGGTGCTGAGAGTAAAACCTGGGTACTCTTAACTTCTAGACCATCTCTTCAGCTCCTGCCTAGTTCACTTTTGTTACTAGCACTCTTTCCCACCAGCCTGGTCCCACAGCTGCGTCAGTCCCAAATGAACACTCAGAGACTGATATTAATTATAATTCTGTGGACCAATAACTTGGGCTTCTTATTGGCTAGCTCTGTCTTTAATTATTAACCCATAACTACTAATCTATGTATTTCCATGTGGTCTTGGCTTACTGAAGAATACCGAATCTGCAACTCCTTTGCCTGCTATGTTGTGACTGTTCTGGCAGGCCCTCCTGCCTACCTTTCCCAGACTTCTTCTCCTAGTCCTGTCTATCTTCCTGCCTCATTGGCAGTTGGCCCAACAGTGTTTTATTCATTAACCAATAAGAGAAACATATACAAAAGGACATCCCCCATCATCTCTTCTTTTTTGTCTAAATAAAAAGAAAGGTTTTAACTTTAACATAGTAAAATTATATATAACAAAACAGTTATCAAGTAAGAACTATAGTTACAATATTTAGTCCATTAACATTTAGCAAGATTTAAAGAAAATATTCTATTATCTATCCTATCTTTGTGAGTCTAAAGTCTTATATATAACTTATCTATTGTCATAACTAAGGAAAACCATAACTATCTGTCTTCAACTCCATCAAAGGCCACAGAAGCATAACATATAAACTCTACAATTGACAGAGACATTTCACTGCCTGGACAGTCATCCAAAGTTCCTCTGTAATGTTGGAGTATCTATCTTCAGCCAAAGGCAACATTGTGTCTGACAGACTTCTCAGTGAAGCAGGAAATTTTAAACTGTTCGCCTGTATTGGCAGTTTGTCAGTCATTTTTCTGTGTCCTACAGAATGTCTATCAGAATCTTTCATGAATAGGAACCCTTCAGGACTGTCCCATCTTGTTTTGGAGCAGTCACTTTCCTGTGGGTCCCGCATGTCCACTTTGTACAGCATACAGTCAAACAGTCCAGGCAAGAGCATTTTCTTGCCCAAATGGCTAGTCTTGCCATGTCAAAGGCATATTCCATAATGAGTTTCTTCAATGCCTGTCTTCCTCTCTGAAGTAATTGGTGTTGCCAAGAATAATTGTGTCTCACTGTCATGAAAATTCCTAAACCATTTTAAATGCTATATTCTGTAAGTCTTTGAAAGGTTTGAAGACTATCCATCCATCTCATATATATCTCTATATATCTAGAAAACTTAAATAACATAACTGTAAGTTTTTACTATTATAGGTGACTATATATAATATGTATTTAATTATATATTACATTTTTAGATGAGCTATATAAACACAATACCTAAACAAGAGGAGAAATATACATATAACAAATCAACCTTAAATTTGTATCAATAAATAAAAATCCATACCAATACAAAGTATTTATTTCTATACCATATTCACCTTTTTTTTCTTTAGAAAGAGATTAGCAGTGATCATTAATCATTTATAATCAATCCCATTTCAATGAAAACAAACATTTATAAACAATATTTGGGAATTTGGGCATTGTTCTTTCCAAACTGCTTCCTGCTGTATGGGGGCAATGTTAAAACTATGGGGATCATGAAAATATACAGAAACCTGTCCAAGACCTGGCTGTAGTAGTCTGCATGGCTGCATCTTCCCAGGTGTCTTGGAGGTTGGGTCACTGCTTCATGGGGTCTTGCTTCATCAAAGCATATTAGTTTGGAAGGAATACACAGCTCCTCATCTTCTGTAGAAACAAAAATAGAATCTCTTTTACAAAGTAACATGTTCTTAGACTTAAATTTTGAAGTCAAAGCATTTTTAAATATATAAATTGGATTAATTCAGCAGCATTGATAATCAAAAGTCTTTTAGCAGTTGTTACTCCTTTCCCAGCAATTAAGCAATTCAAAGACAAGACAATAACATACAGTATCCAGACTATCTGTGTATTTTCCTTCTTTGCATGGCTTTTTTACTCTATTTCTTTTTTAACCATGTTATTCTTTTTTCTTTTTCTCCCGCAAGCCTACGTACATATTTAAACACACTGTAAACCCTTTAGAGGTTTTACTTCATCTGAATCTGTGTTTACTATGTATATCTACTTTTGTTCTAGCTATGAGTCTTTTATCTGCTAAATAACATTGCTGAAATTAAAGCTGTGGCTGTTTAAGCCACTGGCTTTCCAAGATGGTGGGGGTACTTTAACCAAGAGCACTGGGAGCTATGTTTACTCCTCGACTCTTAAACCTTTATAAGTAAAAGCTAAATCTGCCATGCTGCATGTTGGTCATTGCTGCCACCAGCTTCTCGTACACACAATTTTTGTTTGGCAGAGAGGCCTCTTAAAAGAGCCCTGTGGTTTTTTGCTGCTTGTGCAGAGTCAGGAAACCTCCCTTAAAGAGTCCCTACTTGACTCTAGCAAAACAGAGTCCACCCGAGAAAATGTGATTGACTTTGTTCTTTTGTGTTTAGAATCCCTTTTTTAAGTTTTTGTTAGGTTCTATGTGGAAGTTCCTGTAACCCATGTTGCTGGCATCATTTTGTAAGCATGAGTTTTCTGGCCTGGCAGGTCCCCGGGGCCCTTGAGCCCAAAATCAACATACAGACACTATATTAATTATAATACTGTTGGCCAATGGCTTGAGCTTCTTATTGGCTAGCTCTGTCTTAATTATTAACCCAAAGCTACTAATCTATGTATTTCCACATGGTCTTGGCCTACTGGAAAATACTGGACCTGCAACTACCTTGCCTGCTACATGGCGACTATTCTGGCAGGTTCTCCTGCCTACCTTTCCCAGTCTTCTCCTCCTCTTCTAGTCCTGCCTATCTTCCTGCCTCATTGACCATTGACCCAACAGTGTTTTATTCATTAACCAATAAGAGAAACATATACAAAGGGACATCCTCCATCACACTTTTACTCAACAGAGGTCAGTTATACTATCTACCCCTCATGTTACTTCCCTTAAAGTCCTGGTTTGATGAAGTTGCTTCACATTTTTGTTCCTTCCTTTAAAACTAAGGAACAGTAAAAATTGTATTCATGAGTATTCTAGGTGACAGAGCACAAAATATATTGAAATGGAAACAACTATTATTTACTCTTAGATCAAACTTGTTTCTTATAGAGAAAAACAATGACCGTTAGTAGAAAATGATCCTCTACCTTCTAAGAGCACATCCCTTTTCTCATTGCACAGTGATGCTCTTGAACGTGGTTTTGGTAACTAAAAACTACTGATTCTCAGTTGCTTCAGATGTCTGAAATGAACAGGGAGAAATATTTAGGTTGAGTTAAGAAAGTTCTTGGGTGATTTTGTTTTTGTTTTGTTTTTTGCTTTTTATAGAATTGTAGCAATTAGAGTTATACAAAACAAAAACAGAAGATGATTTAAAGGCAATTCATGGGAATATGATGGTGTGGTGGAAAAATACATGGTATCCATGGTCCTGAGAGTTGGGTTTCCATTCCAACTTCTCTCTCTCTCTCTCTCTCTCTCTCTCTCTCTCTCTCTCTCTCTCTCTCTCTCTCTCTCTCTCTCTCTCTCTCTCTGTCTCTGTCTCTCTCTCCACACACACAGAAGGACCATATGCCTTGGAAACATTTCTTTAGTTGTGAAATAAAGATGCTACCTCTACCTGTGGTGAGATTCAACTATTACACTGAGCCATTGCCTGTTTCATAGCACTGACTGAGTCACTCATAAACACTGGAAATACAACAGTAAAAAATGAACACAGCTCCTTCACTCATCAGTACAGCAGACAACGTATGCAGTAATAATGAGGCAAA